GATTGGGACTGGCCAGGCTTTCCCTCTCTCATTCTAGCTCGGCCATTTTCGCGAAGAAAGATTTCTTTTTGTAGCTATCGAGTCAGAGTTTCTAATCTCGTTTCAGAGGAAGAGAAACCGGCGGCAATGCACGGAGGGGACCGAAGGAACCTTAGCCCAGCAATTTTAGCGAGCAACTTTCTGGTGTCCCTCATGGCGGCCGTCAGCTGGAGGATACCGAGTTTCACCAGCCTTTACCCGACATGAATCACCGTCGAACTTACGGGGACGACTGGTGTTAGCTGCACCCGTACCACCGCAACCCGGTCCATCTTCTTCTGCAAGGATGAGTCCGACGATCGGTCGGTCGTTTGGGATTCGTCTTTTCAACTGTAACTCCGATCGATCCCACGAGGACGACATCCTTGCACCGGCGTCAAGTACCAGCGAGTGTATTGGTTCGCGTATGAACACATGGAACCGCCACCCATTTTCGGACCGATCCTTTTACGTGTAGCGCGATTCCTTTCATCCATTGTCCGCCGCGGAAGAGTAACCAGAGACTCGCGGTCCCCTTTTTGAAGGGAGCCGCGTTTGTTCATAAGGGAAGAACTTTAGCCACCGACAAATCCTTTTGTTTCACTCCTTTCTGTCTTCTAACCCTTGTCTTTTGTCCCCTTGTTCACTGCCACGTTCGTCCACGTTCCCTTGTTGTGTGTCTCGCGATTTCTTTGCTTCGGAAAAGAAAAAAAGAAAAAAAAAAGAAAAAAGGAAACGAGATGGACGCCATTGGAAATATTCATCGCCACGATGATTATTCTTCTGGTTCTGGAATTGATCTAAAAAAAACACACGCGGTAAGGCGCGTTTCGCTTGTAACTTGCGGAAACACAATGGCGTACGAAGCTCGCGCGAATGAAGATTCCTCTCTCCGTTTCTCCTGTTTTCTGTCGCGAAACGATAGGAACCTGTCGATTCGAGGATTCTCTTTTATTTGCTCGCGATGAAGTGAATCGTTCTCTTCGTACGTGCATTATACGTATATGAATGAACACACACGTACACAGATACACACATATACATACATACACACGTTCCTCACACACGCGAGAAAAATATACGTATACACGCGTATACATATATAGTAGCATGTAAGAAACACCGTGGACTCGAGATGAACAAGCGCCTTTACGTTTCGTGACGTGGATACCTCTTCCTGCTCCAACCTCATACGGATCTTCGATATCATGTGTTGATGGTTCATTCGGATTTCGTCCTATGAATCTGAATTGAGAAGAATTCACGTGTATGTACAGTGAATCGATCAGGCCGCAAATAAACTTGTCGACGGAAATTCGTGACGGACGTTCACGCGATTCAGCGCGTTGCCGCGTGTTCATGTCGGGGTAAACGGAATCAATGTAAATAATTACACTCTAATTATACATTCAATAAAACATTAATCGTAAAGCTATCGATCGATAATTTACTCACGACTCCTGTTCTGTTTCGTTATATTTCGGGACGCGATGCGACGCAACGCACGTTGAAAATAACTCCGTCCAGACAACTTTGCCATTTGTTTTCGTTGTTCGATGGGTAAACGACGAGGCAGGAAATTGAAGGTAAAGTAGCACGATCACCGTGAAATAAACGACGCGAAGGAAAAGTTATTTCACGAAACTCTGAAGGAAAGTTGTGGAATAGCTCTGGCCGATAAATGTGCACGTTCGCCTCGCGTTATCTATCTCTCGAAGTCTTCGAACTTTACGCGAGCTTTAACACGCCAGTGGCAAACGTTATTACGAGAGCCTTCGTTATCTTAACTCGGAATCCTGTTAAAACGGATTAATTCAACCGCAAATTCGGTTGGAGAAATATCGAAATCCGCTAGGGGCTGGATAACGACGGCCACTAACATTACCGTGGCCGCGAAACGAGCTTCTAAGAGCGCGGTTCCAGACACGATTAATCGATAAGACTATCGAACGTGAAACCGCTCGCGTTTACTCGCCGATTCTCCCCTGTTATCGAGCCCCCGCCGAGTCGAACTTCTCGACGATTTCTTCGGCCTCGATAACACGACAATTTTTGAGAGATTGTTCAACGCGGCAGGGGATGGGAGGGGAGAGGGACGACGACGACGATTCGTGCCGCGGAAGACGATACCGCGGGCAATTAACACGATAGGAAGTTAATTTAGGTTGTAAGCGTTGGCCCGTAAGCTGATATTCTGTGCCACGTCACGGGAGGGTACCGCGTATCTCGCTTCTTTTTTTTTTTTTCCTCCTCTTCTTCGACTTCGATCCTGCTAACTCTTGTCCCTTAACCTCGTTTTGTTTGACCCGGCGCGCGGCCCGCTGCTTTCTTGTCTTATTTTCTATCTGGCCGCACGGAACTTTCGCGATAAAAGCACTGAAACTCCTTTAACGGGTGCTAAATTGAAACACTGTTGCAATAAAAGGATACGGTACAGTGACCCCTTTCTACAAAGAAGCGTTCTTCGTTCGCTCTTCCTTGTTGTAGCATTTCACCTACGTCTTTACTTCCGAGCCGAAAGAGAACGAGGGGGAGAGAAGTTCT